GTATAATTCAACAGGACTTTTGGTGACTGCTGGGGTTCACACTAAGTCATGAATTGTAGCGTATTCTGCAGTCACGCAAATGGATTCTCTGTTACTTTTTTGTAAGTATATATACCGTGCAGAAATCTTTCTCTTAAAAACAGCAGCTACAATAATCCATCTTCAAATATTCCCAAGCAGCCAGTTTCTGAGGCACTTCTTATGGTGTATATAAAGTCAGCCACTGTATTCTTTAGGTGGAACAAAGAGGTTATTTCATGACTGGTTGAGGATGACTTCTGCAATCAGTGACAAAGGTACTCAGTAACTGACCAAAATGCCTTCTTTATAGGATGCAATTCACTTACAATCTTATGCTTAAATTTTATGCTTAAAAAGTGCTGTGCTTTCCACCTGTGACTATTGGCGTTGCATATCATTCTGCAAAATCATCTGGAGGAGCAGGCCATCCATGTTCCTGCTTCATCATAGGTAGACATATCTGCAGTTATATTTCTAAAATCTAGTGGAAGTTTCCAAGTGTCCCTTAGGATTTATTTTGTGTGATAGTCCAATAAAAATTTGTTCCAAAGATCTCAAAGTTTAACCTTTCCAGATAGAACTAAATTGTAATATTTCTTAATCTTAACCTTTGCTTAGTGCTCTTAGCAAAGGTAAAGGTAAAATGATAAAAATCTTCGAAGTTTATTTTGTCCTTCTTGCTCTAATCTTAGCAAAAGAGCTGAACTATCACTCTAGCTCTGTCATGCCATCTTCACCCCCCCTTTAATTAATTTTTTTGCCAAATTTACATTGAATAGCTGCCCTGAAATCCCACACTTACGATGATACACTGACACTAATAGGGTCTAGGTTTAAATTATTACAAAACTGTTGAATCCCATCAACTCCAATTTATTTTCACCTCGCGGACCTTTGTACTTGCTATACAGTTGTTCTAGCTTCGTCTAGCCTACTGGATTTCTCGTGGATTCTTTGTAGAATGAGTCTGGATTTTGGAAGAAGTTGCTAGTTCTCACTCATTCAGTGTTAAACAGTACAATATGTCGCAGTTTTTTCACCAGCCTGAGTAAATGCCATGACTGGGGGCCTTGTTTTTCTCAGACAGTTTAAACTTATGCCTACCTGGCACTTCTAAATGGGTCTGAGGCTCCCCATTCACTGGCATCACTGTGGCTGGCTCTGCAGATCCAGGCCACTAGCCACTTCATTTTAAATAGATGTCAGAAGACCACTATCCTAGCTGCCCCTCCGCAGGTAGTACTTTTCTGATGGGTTCTCAGTCTGGGTTATGCATATAAGCAGTTACTTTTCATAATACTTTTCCACCAACAGGTGGCACTAATAATTCCCCTTATTTCCATAGTACCCCAGGAATAAGACTTGTGTGGCATTTAGAACATATCTTTTGTACTTTTTTGAGTTGAAACATGGCTGATTTTTAAGAGTATCTAAGGCAGAAAACACCCAGCATTCCTGATCAAGTCTTTAGCATGTTGCCTTTCTCCTGGATTACTGGCTTCTAGCTCCAGTCTCTTCTTTCACTCTTAGTCTAAACACCTTGGTTGGTCTTCCAACAAAACAAGATGAGTAGAAGTCATGAGAAAAACACAGAGAGAAATACAAAATCCATATGCTGAAGTCCCTTTCCATGGGAGAAAGGATGACATTAATGTTGATTGTCTGGACTGGAGAAGAACTCAATTTTGAACAAATTGACTAAACATTTATTGCAGAGTTACTCCATGCATAGTACTATTCTATATATTCCCTGTGAATGTATAGAACTCTAATACCTAAGATCCTATTCTCAAAGCCTATACCCTAATTGAGATAAAATAGGCACACGAAGTACATGTGAGATCTATAATAATTTTCAGTGTACAGTGTATGAATAGGATGGTATTATCAGAAGAACGAGTAGAGTAAAATACTACGTGAGTTTGGAGGAGGTAAAGAATAATTCAGTCAGTCAGTCAGTCAATCAGTATTTATTGGACACCCCCTATGTCAGTGTTCTTGGCATAGAGAATACAATGTTGATAAAGACAGATAAGATTTCTGCCTTCAGGGAAGGCCTCTCTGAGGAGGTGACACTTGAGCTGAGGCCTAAATACTGAGAAGAAGATAGATATTTGAAGAACTAGAGGAGGAGCTTTCCAAGCAGAAGGAACATTTAGTGAAAAGCCCCAAGGCAGACATTGGCTTGATGTGTTTCAGGGAAGGAAGAAGTCTTGGGTGGCTGGAGGATAGTGAACAAGGAGAGGATGGCAGAAGACATGGGTGTAGAGGCGGGTGGAGGTCACAGGTCATGTGGGGGATTTGTAGGCCATGGTGAGGCACTGGATTTGTGACTTTGGGGAAGGCTTTATGGAAGAGGCAGAACTTGAGTTGGGACAGTTGAAGAATGGTGGATTTGGCTTGTTGGAGGGAAAGGAGAGGGTGATAGAGGTTGAGGGTTGTGGAAGTGCTCATTCAAATGCTGTGGTAGCCCATCCTCTGCCCATCCTGTGTCACAGAGTGATGAGGGTTGCTGCCTGAAGATGGTGATGATGATGATGATGACGTCGATGATAGTGATGACAGTTGCCAGCACTTAATGAGTGTTTACCTAGTGCCAGGCACTGTGAAAAGCCCTTTACCATGGATCATCTCATGTCTTATTATATCTGCCCTTCGAGTTGGGTGCAATTATTATGCACATTTCAGAGATGAGAACACAGAGAGGCTAAGTAAATAGTGGTGTAAGTGGTTTGCTAAAACGTGGCATATTCATTTTCCTGTTCTCAAAATAAAGAACATCAAATGAGCTAGAACTTGTTTTTCAGAAGCCAGGAAAACAGAAGCCGAGTATTTGCCTCCCTCCCTGGAAGAGAGAGGAGAGGCAAAGCTCACTCAGTGTGGGTGATGAGGAAATGGGTGCCCCAGGTCTTATGGGGACAGGCCTTTTACATGGAGCTAAACCTCCTAGTTCTGTCAGTCAGACAAGGGTTCTGTGAAGGAAAGCCAGCATTTGCTCCCATGATTCTCAATCCTTTGGGAAGCACAGAGTGCTCAGAGGAGCCTCACTGCTTACAAGTGAAGCACGAGGCCCCTTAAGACGGGCCAACTTGTATCAATGTCTCCGGCTGTCACTGTTGGCTGGTTGGGCATGTAATATTCTGACTCAGTTTCTTCATGTGCAAAATGAGGACAATGGTACCTACCTTGTGGGGGTATTAGGAGGATTAAGATGATGTAAAATGCTTGGTGGTGACAACAACAATGTTTCCCATTTACCTGTGTTTACTCCGTGCACAGCCTGGTAAAGAGGAAGTGCTTAATTAATGGAGCAGTTTATACTTATTATTATTTTTCCCTAACTCATCTAGTCTCTTCTGTTGCTCTGTGACACCCACACTGTGGAAATCACCACTTTCCTTCCTTTCCTCCAGCCAGGCTCTACTCCCTGCACACCCAGATGTTTCCCTATTCTCTGTCCTTTTCTCATGCTGAGCCCTAAATCGTCAATTCGGCCGTCTCCTGACACCAAACCATCAATGCCCCTATGCTAGTTTGCAGATATTTCAAATTCAACTGGTTCCATCCCAGTGTTCTCTCAAAAAATGTTTTCCAATGCTCAAAATTTTAGCTTTTAGTTTAGAAATTAAACAGTTTATCTAATTTATTCTCAAGCCTTGTGGTTTTTCAGAGTATGATCTCAATATTACGGAGTGACCAGAAGCGATGAATGCCAAAACCACTGCACCTTCCACAGAGTCAAAAGATGGTGTAATTTTGTGAAATGGAGGAAATATGCATTTTGAATGGGATGAAAAAAACCTATTACTCACTTCCTTTCCTTCCTGCAGAGAGTACTGAGAACATTAAGTAACAGTTTATGACTGACTCAGCATCCCTCCCTGGAATGTTAGTCATTAAGTGTTCTCTAAAAGTAGTGTCTTCAAGGACTGCTGAGATGGGGATGGCCAGCCTCTAGCAGCCATGAGCATTAGGGCTTGGGAAAGCCAACCCTGAGGCTGTCAGGACTGGTGCCACACTCCAAGTGTACAGTTCCTTTGGGGTAATCTGATCATTGACTGAACATTTGGTGATGTTAAGAAATTATTGTTCATTGTTTTAGATGTAATAATTAGTTATCTTTTGTATTTATTTATTTATTCATTCATTCATTTATTTATTTATGCATGCATGCATGCCCACCGCGCCATGCGGCATGTGGGATCTTAGTTCCCCAACCAGGATCAAACCCGTGCCCAGTGCAGTGGAAACGTGGAGACTTAACCACTGGACTACCAGGGAAGTCCCTACAGTTATCTTTTAAAAATAATTCTTGTCTTTGTGGGTTTTTTTTGTTTGTTTGTTTGTTTTTTTGCGGTACGCGGGCCTCTCACTGTTGTGGCCTCTCCCGTTGAGGAGCACAGGCTCCGGACGTGCAGGCTCAGTGGCCATGGCTCACGGGCCCAGCCGCTCCGTGGCATGTGGGATCTTCCCGGACCGGGGCATGAACCTGTGTCCCCTGCATCGGCAGGCGGACTCTCAACCACTGCGCCACCAGGGAAGCCCAAAAATAATTCTTATCTTTGAAAGATACATATTGAAGATTGAATTGATGAAATGATATGATGCTTGAATTCTGCTTCAAAATAATCTAGTTCAGACTGAGGGATATAGGTGGAAACAAGATTGACCATAATCTGATCATTTTTAAATCTGAGTGATAGGTATAATGTGATGGTTCCTTATATTCTTCTCTCTACTTTTCTATAATTTTTGAATTTTCCATAATAAAAATAATTTTTTTAGGTGCATGGGTAAGCTTTAGTGCACAGACCAGGTACTGTTCTGGTTGTTCAAGACTTTAGGCCCATGCAGGGGTCCTAGGTGAGCTTTTAGTGTCACATGTTGGTGAACACACAGCCTGTGCCTGATGAATATTGAATGAGTAAATGAAAGCAGAGAGGCATAAAGCTCTGACCCTTTTCTTCCTGTCTTTGCAGCGGAGCCCAGGGGGAATACGCTGGGCTGGCCACTATCCGAGCCTACTTAGACGGGAAAGGAGAGAGACACAGAACAGTGAGTGTGGACCGTTTGCTCACCGTCGGGGGGTGGGGGGAGGGCAGCAGGTTCAGCTTTAGGGTCCCTTTCATTCTGTGGGACACTCCCTCCAAGTCTTCTTGGAAGAAGCTGGGGAAACATAAAATCAAGAAACAAATGTCTATGAACTGGCTATTACGATCCTTGCCTCCAAGACGTTTCACTGGACCATTTTGAGGGAAAACATTTGGAGATAAAAGGCTTTCTCTCAAAGCCAGTCTGTAAAAGTCAGCCAGTTGGCTGTGGACCTGCTCCCCGCAGGGAGCAAAGGGAGGAAGGGGCAGGAATGTTGCCATTCCAAGCCTCCCTCCTTGGCTCAGCCCTGGACAGAGGGCAGAGACTGAGCTTTCATTCTTCTGTAACTCCTACTGTGCCTGAGCACAGTTCTTGTCATATGTATGCTCAGAAAATATTTATTGAATAAATAAATTCCCTATTAAGTGATTCTCAGCTCTAAGCAACAAAAGAAAACATGGGACATGGAGCAGAGTTCACGGTTCTGCTTCTTTGTTTGCTTTGGGTGAGTCTAGTCTCTAGGGTCCAAACTGCTTTTGGGGGGCCCTTGTGTGGCCAGCAGGTGCTAATGGGCTCACCAGGCCTCCACTAATCCCCAAAGGCAGTGCCTTTAGCAGATGACCTAACAACACAGGCTTCAGATTGTGGCTGAAGGAGGTGTGTGTTCCTGGGACCTTCATTTTGGTGATGGCCACGCTAAACTTGAACTGCATGAGCTGTGGAGGTGGTGTTAGAGGGAGCAGTGGGTAGGAGCCAGGAGCAGGTCGAAGCGTCTGCCCAGCCCAGGAGAGTTAGACGAAAAGGTGCTGGGGTGGTCTGGCTGCCCACATAAGTGGGGTGCAGTGGGTGGTAGTCCAATCTTAGTCCATTCCTGGTTTTATTAAAGCTGGAAGATTGTTTATGGCCAGTTGCCTGGATTTTGCAGTGAAGAATTTAAATACTATTTCACTTCCCTTTCACAAAAGGGGAGAAAAAAAATTTTCTCCCACCTTCCCTTGCTTTTCCATCCTGATTACACAGGTGTGTTTTCCCAGGCCTTCGTCCTGGTTGGGGAATAGAATTGATTTGCAAAGACCTTTCGGAAAACAGGACATTTATTACTTGAATAAGTTATTGAAGACTGGCCACATGCAAGGTACTGTGTGTGCCAGCCCAGAGAGAGATCAAGCGATAAATCAAACAGATACAGTCCCTGATATTTCAACTTTTTTTTTTTCACTTGGGTGTTGAATTCTTTAACTTTCTAAGGAAGGGTTAGTTTGGAATTACAATTGTTCTTTGGACCTCAGAATCTCAGCACTGTCATAGAGTCAGAAAGGAAACACTGGGACTCCAGTGAGAGGATGCCAGATGACTGACATTTAAAGTTGCTTTCTCCATTTTTCCTCCGTGGCTTCCATGTACTCAGTAGGCCCTGGAACTTCCCATTGTTATGTTCTTTAACCATGAGGTGTCTGGGACTCCTGGGGAGGGAGCCATTTATCCTGTGTAACCATCTTCATGTCGCTCCTGCTTTATGGAGAGGCCGCCGAGATCTACACTGTGGTGCTTGTGGAAGGCCAGTGAGCAGCTAGCGAGAAAAGGCCAGCTAAACCTCGGGTCTGTCCACTCTGTGATACTTCCCATCCCTCCTGGGTTCCCTGCTCTTTAGTCTGACACCCGGAGCTATCTGTGAATGTCTAGGAGTTGGGGACCAAACCAGAAAGGTCAAGGAAAAAGGATGAGAGACGTTTTGATTGGGCCTGGGCAGAGTTCTTCTGTGACTCATGGATTCTTTTTAGCTCCTTTTCCTTCTTTGTTTTTTCCAGTCCTCCCTTCTCTCTCAGTCCCCTTGTGTGTGACTTTTCTTCTGGCACCACTGTTCACACTAGCATCACTGAAATGTTGGGAGAGGTTATTCCACTGAAGGACAGAGAGGAGTGGGATGCTGCATTTTGGGGGGTGGGTGAGGGGAGGCAGGGAAGGCTACCCAGTCACTGAGCTTGTAGTAATACAGAACTCTTAAGTTTGGAAATGTTGGCATCCTTTCTAGATTAAAGATTTTAAGTAAACCTGACTTTTTTAGTTAGAGAAAAAGAAAATGACTTATTATTCAAATAATCAGGGAGGACTTTTCAGCATCAGAGATGTCTAAGACAGCTGTTTCCATACAACAGACTCTAATGGAATCTAGTAAAATATATCCTTTTGAAAAAAGAATGTGGGGAAGTCATGTGCTACAGAACCTCCCGGGTTCCTGATGATTCTCTTATTTCAAGCTGTTTTGGAAGTTATTTTCACATTTACTCTTAGGTTAAATTTCAGAGGTTCCTAAAATGCAATGGCCAAGTTCTTGATTTACCAGTTTAACTTGAGAGAATACAAATTATTTAACAAACACTTATCTAGAAATTACCCTGTGCCAGGCACTGTCCTAAACACTTTATGATTATTAACTCAATTTGCCTGTCAAATACTAACTCAGGTTTGTGGATCAGAGGCTGAATTTCCTATACAAAGGGAAAACGCTGACCAAAAAACTCCCCAAAAAACAAAAAAAACCCACCGCCAAAAAACACCCCCAAAACCTGTATGTATTTTTCTTTTCTCAGCTGCCTGAGGCAAAGGAGTGGCCTTTTGTTTTTCGATTTTACCTGTGGTAAGAAATTGATTTCCCTTGCAAAGTAGCCTCCTCCTTAATCTGTCACTCATTCAGCAAGTCTTTTTTTTTTTAATAGATTTATTTTATTTATTTATTCATTTGTTTTTTGGCTGCGTTGGGTCTTCCGTTGCTGTGTGCTGGCTTTCTCTGGTTGTCGCGAGTGGGGCTACTTTTCGTTGCAGCGAGTGGCTTCTCATTGCGGTGGCTTGTTGCGGAGCACAGGCTCTAGGTGCGCAGGCTTCAGTAGTTGTGGTACACAGGCTTCAGTAGTTGTGGCTCGTGGGCTTAGTTGCTCCGCGGCATGTGGGATCTTACCAGAGCAGGGCTTGAACCCGTATCCCCTGCATTGGCAGATGGATTCTTAACCACTGCACCACCAGGGAAGCCCCCAGCAAGAGTTTGAGGATGAGCTATGTTGGGTCTGTACCAGGTGCATTGGGGGGTTAGAAAAACACAGCATCCACCTAAACACTAACCAAAGAGGGTTAGTGTTGATAAAATATCAAATCTGGGTCCTGTTATTTCCAAGTCCTTTGCAACACCACAATTTTTAAAGTGAGGATCCACATAGGAAATCAGAAACATCTAACAGCAAGAAATTCCTGACAAAACCACTGAGACCTTTTCTTTCCGCTAATCCTTATATCAGGATGTGTATTAGTTTCCCATGGCTACTGTGACAAATTACTACAAATTTAGTGGCTTAGAACAACACAGGTTTATTTTCTTATAGTTATGGAGGCTAGAAGTCTGAAATTGGTTTCACTTGGCTAAAGTCAGTGTGTTGGCAGGGCTCGTTCCTTCTGGAGGATCCAGGAGAGAATCTGTTTCTTTGCCTTTCCTAGTTTCTGGAGGCCTCCTACATTCCTTGACTCATGGCCCCTTCCTGCCATCACTCCAACCCCTTGTTCAGTTATCACATCTTCTACCTCCTCTGTAGTCAAAGCTTCCCCTGGTTCCTTATGATAACACTTGCGAGTGCATTTAGGGTCCAACCTATAATCCAGATTTCAAGATCCTCAATTTCTCACCTCAAGATCCTTAATTTAATCACACCAGCAAAATCCCTTTTGCCAAATAAAGTCACATTCGTAGACTCTGGGATTAGAATGTGGACACATTTGGATGCTATTCAGTGTATCGCAAGATGAGTGACATTTTTAGCTTGGATGTTTTTGTTGCCTCGTAACTTCTCTGATATGAATTCTTCATTGAGGCCTTTAACAAATATTTTATATTCACTTTTAAATATTCACCTTTCCCTTCCTTGATCCGTGTTCTGCCCAGAAGGTATCCTTTTATCCAAAGATCGTTTGGTAGAATAAAAATATCTTGTGAGAAAGGAAAAATAACTCCAGCTTTTGTCCTGAGAAATTAAAGAATTTAATACAAAAGGGAAACAGTTAAACAAGAAAAAGGATTTGAGGACAACACAGCATAATCAGCATGAGACCAGTAACCATTCAGAAGAGGCACTAACTCCCTGTCTGCAGAAGAACAACAAAGTGATTTCATGTTTGCCTCTGTTTGTAGTTCTCTTTGGATCACATGCATTTTGCTTAAGTAGATGGCTTTGCTGTTTTTGAGGAAACGGCTGTAAGCTAAATTTCCCCTTCATAAGCCCATTTTTATGATGCCCATCCATTTCTCTTCAAGGGGTGTCAGTATTGGTTCTGGGATTAAAAGAAATGAAAAACAGGATTGTTTTCAGGGTCAGTATTGCTTCTTCTTGTTGCTTTCTGTTGGAGGGAACTCCATGAGGCCCTTTCCTGTAGTGGGGCACCATCAGATCATACAGAGCACCTGTGTTCACATGATTTGGGGGCAGGAAATGAAAATGATTTAAATCTGGGAATTTTTTTTTTTTTTTTTTTTGCGGTACGCGAGCCTCTCACTGTTGTGGCCTCTCCCATTGTGGAGCACAGGCTCCGGACGCACAGGCTCAGCGGCCATGGCTCATGGGCCCAGCCACTCCGTGGCATGTGGGATCCTCCCGGACCGGGGCACGAACCCGTGTCCCCTGCATCGGCAGGCGGACTCTCAACCGCTGCACCACCAGGGAAGCCCTAAATCTGGGAATTTTAACATTGTGTGTGCCTACCATCCGCCTTCCATAAGAATTCAGCACATCTTTAAGCTCTGGCTTAGGTTCTAGCTCTTGAAATACTTTCTCTTGATCTCTTCAACTTGAAGTGGCACCCCGTTATTCTGAGTTCCTTTGGTACCTGTGGGCTCTAGACATTTTTTTTTAAAGAATTTTTATTTCCCCAATTATACTGACAACGACAAGATGCTTTGGAAAGAGAGGAACGGCTTCCTCAGATAAGGGAGGAGGAAATGTTTCCACTGGCCGAGGAGACTAGGTTGAGGTGATGTAGTCCCTGTTTAAAGGGTCCTTTTATTTATTTATTTATTTTTATATTTTAATTTTATTTTTATTTATTTTATTTTTAATCTGACCGCACCGCCCGGCATGTGGGATCTTAGTTCCCCAACCAGGGATTGAACCCGCGTCCCCTGCATTGGAAGCACGGAGTCTTAGCCACTGGACCTCCAGGGAAGTCCTTCTAGACATTTATTTATATGGATGCCAGCCTTGTCAGTGAATGCAGTGTGTGAGCACGGGGCAGGGGCTGATCGGCATTTGTGCTTAGTTATTATTCTCATGGCAACTAACAATTCATTGCACAGAGTAAGCATCCAATAATGAAGTAGTCATTGGTGTGTTGGCACTGGGAGGCCTTGGAATATGTCGACTGTTACTTCTTCTGGTCTCAGTAGAGCCAAGCAGAGCACTGGAGCTGTGATGTGTGCATTTGAGTCCTAGAGTTTAACTTCCAATCCCATGTTCTTGTAAGGTGCTTTCTATATATTATAGCTGAGACAAGGTTAGAATAAGTCTAGGCCTGTTTTTGGTGTTGCTGGGATAAGGGAGGAGAGTATTAATATTCTGAAAGTCTTTAGGGAACAGTATTTGGGGATTCAGTGTAAACTCCTGTTGGACATTGTTTTGCAATACAGTACTAATGAAATAGTAGTAAACTTTAAGGCACTACTGGTCAATTTAAATAGAGCATGTGGCACCTACTGAATTTATGCTCCAAGTATTTTGTAGGACTTTTCTGTCATTATGAATAGCCTGGTGATTTTTCTCTCCTTCCTTCCTTTCATTCCATTCCTAAGGTTTGCCTCATTCCAAAATCCGCACATGGAACCAATCCTGCAAGTGCACACATGGCAGGCATGAAGATTCAGCCTGTGGAGGTGGATAAATACGGGAATATCGATGCAGCTCACCTCAAGGCTATGGTACTCATCTTCCACTTAACAGATGGGGGAGGTCTGGGTTGGAAAGAAGATGTGGGGATCAGGGATGGTTTATCTTCTTTTGCATTCTAATTAAAAGACTGCAGTTCCTCCTCTGAATGAGTCTAGGGGGAATGGCATAAAATCAGACAACCTAGCCGACTCTATAAGAAAAATAAAAGCAAGAGTCACATTTCTGGTCCAGAGTAAAGCTGACCACAGTCTATTTTACCTCTTCCTTCTCTAACAGGGAGAAAGTCCTTTATGCTGAAATCCCCTCATCTAATGTGTGCATGTGTAAGAAACTGAATTATTCATGGTGGTAGTAAGGATACTCCTTGCAGGATCTACCTGCCTCCTTCTGCCCAACCTTCCCCTCCTTCCCCCATTAACAGTCACACTGGCAGTCACTGGTATTCTCAATCTTTGTGTTGGGAATTAAAACATAAATGTAGATTTTGCAGATGCTTGTGATGGGCCCAGCCGTTACCTGCTGAATTTCAGGCAATATTCCATCTTCCTTCTTCCAGCACCAATCCCCACTCCCAACCTCCCAACCTCCAGGAAGAGGTTGCCTAGCAACTGTATCTGCTTTCCACTGGTGGACTGGAGGCTGCATCTTAAGAGGGAAGGAAATCACTTGAATAGCAATGTGATTTTGTCGGGGTTATTAGGTATGGAGACTGAGAACTTCATGTAACTACCTCAAAGGGAAGATGAAAACACACAACGCTGCTCACCTCTCGTACCCACCCTCCTGCTTCCATAGCTCCATAAAGTTTTTACTGATAAATATTCTGGGTCAGTAGTTATAATTATTAAGGCTCTCCAAAATAGGATATGACCTTAAATTTTTTTTTTTTTCATTTCCACATGAGCCTGTTCACTGACTTGCTGGTCAAAAAAACAGGAACATGCCTTTTATATATGCTTGCCTTCTGTCAAAAGGAAAAACGGTGGAGTTTTTTTTTTAATCAGAGCAGAACACTCCTAGTGGGAATTCTAATTTCAGTAGAATGGGAGGGAAAGGGGATAAGGGTGGATATGGCAAGATGAGCAGAGAGAGATTAACTGTGAGAATCAACTTGTCTGGAACCGAAAAGATCTGAAATAATTATTGAGATGATTTGAACCAAAGGAAAACCACTTTAGAGAGTTGAGCCCAAAATACCCAAAAATCTTCTGAACAGTTTTTTGGTTTTGACAATGGAGACCTGTCCTGAAGGGATCTTGTTATTTCTTTGGAATGATTTACAAAGGGGGTAATGGCTGTGGATCTTCTATTAGCGTCATCCTACATTGAGACAGTTCCAGAAATGAAAAGAACAAGTCTTCGTCTTTCTTAATCCTTTAAAATAAAAAGCGAGGGATTGGCTAAGAAAGAAACATTCCCTCTCATTGTCTCCCTCTGCCCTTTTTTAATCTTTCAGGTAGATAAACACAAGGAGAACCTGGCAGCAATCATGATTACGTACCCATCCACCAATGGAGTGTTTGAAGAGAACATCGGAGATGTGTGTGACCTGATCCATCAACACGGAGGACAGGTCTACCTGGACGGAGCAAATATGAATGCTCAGGTGGGCAGTGTGAGAGGGCTCCCTGAGAAAATGGTTAAGTACAAAAAAAAAAAAAAATTCATTTTCTTTGATTTCTTGCCAGTTGTCTTAAAACATGACACTGAATTCAGAACAGAGACTGACTTTTTCTATATTGCCAAATCAAACAAAGTATGTACCACAATTTCACTGAGATTACAGACCCTAAGGAGGTCACGGGCGATGCTGAGGAGGAGGTAAAAAGGTTGAAGGGAAGCAGGGAGTGAGCTGAATGTCCTTAGCTTGTCACAGGGTGTTATCCCTCTGGGGGTACTAAAGGCAATGAGGTCACCTGACTCCCTTCCTGAGGGAATTTAGACCCAAGTTTTGGCCACTGGTGGCTGTTGGTCTCCCATGGCCTTGGACTAGCTTCAGCTTCATCAGTGTGAAACAGCTGAATAGCTCTGTCCCCGAAGGGCTGATCCTGACTTCTTGGCAGGGCTGTGGGGGTGTGGTGGTGGTCTGTGTGATGTGTACCTTTGAGGAAATGCGTTAGGGAGACTGGAGGACAGGGACTTGTCATCTTTTTAAGAGTCTTCTCAGCTTCCTCCTCTCCTTTTTTTTAAAAAATAAATTTATTTATTTATTTTGGGCTGCATTGGGTCTTCGTTGCTGCGCACTGGCTTTCTCTAGTTGCGGCGAGCGGGGGCTACTCTTTGTTGCTGTGCACGGGCTTCTCATTGCAGTGGCTTCTCTTTGTTGCGGAGTACGGGCTCTAGGCACACGGGCTTCAGTAGTTGTGGCTTGCGGGCTCTAGAGCGCAGGCTTAGTAGTTGTAGTGCACAGGCTTAGTTGCTCTGTGGCATGTGGAATCTTCCCAGACAAGGGCTGGAACCCGTATCCCCTGCATTGGCAGGTGGATTCTTAACCACTGCGCCACCAGGGAAGTCCCTTTCTTTAAAAAAAAAAGTTTTTTTTAACCATTTCAGACTCTCTGCTTTTCTTTGCTCCTGTCTGATTTCTTTTGAGTAGTCCAGGGATTCTATTGCTTCAATAGCATAAATGGATTCTTTATCTTTGACCACATTCACAATTAGTCCAAATGCCAAAGTGGCAGGAACACCCATTGAATGTTGTGGCCGGTACCAGGATGGTCCAGGAAAGCTGTCAGCCTCCCTTTCTCTCCCTCGGCTCAGTATTCTCTCCAACAGCCTTCCAGCCCTTTATAGCCACGTGCCCTAAGGGGCCCTTTGGTAAAGTGCATGATACCCAAAGCAGGGGTGCTAGAAATTGCCTGTTTCAATAGCAGGGAGGTACTATCCTTTCTTGCGCTAGGGGTACTTCCTCTTCTCCCTCTTGGGGTGAATACTTAGGAATTGACTGTATATTCAAATCTGTATTTTAAAATCTAAATTAGGCTAAAAAGTCAGTTGCTGTTTCCATAGAAACCACAAGCCACGCTGCCTGTGGGATGCCAGGTTTTGGTTGCAGTATTTTTTTTTTTTAACATCTTTATTGGAGTATAATTGCTTTACAATGTTGTGTTAGTTTCTGCTGTATAACAAAGTGAATCAGCTATATATATACATCTATCCCCATATCCCCCCCCACCTCTTGTGTCTCCCTCCCCCCTCCCTATACCACCCATCTAGGTGGTCACAGAGCACAGAGCTGACCTCCCTGTGCTATGCAGCTGCTTCCCACTAGCTATCTGTTTTACATTTGGAAGTGCATATATGTCAATACTACTCTCTCACTTTGTCCCAGCTTCCCCTTCCCCTTCCCCGTGTCCTCAAGTTCATTCTCTATGTCTGCGTCTTTATTCCTGTCCTGCTCCTAGGTTCATCAGAACCATGTTTTTGTTTGTTTTTTTTTAAGATTCCATATAAATGTGTTAGCACATGGTATTTGTTTTTCTCTTTCTGACTTACTTCACACTGTATGACAGACTCTAGGTCCATGCACCTCACTACAAATAGTTGAATTTCGTTTCTTTTTATGGCTGAGTAATATTCTGTTGTATATATGTGCCACATCTTCTTTATTCATTCATCTGTTGACGGACACTTAGGTTGTTTCCATGTCCTGGCTATTGTAAATAGTGCTGCAATGAACGTTGTGGTACATGTCTCTTTTTTTTTTTTTTTTTTTTTTTTT